ATATTGACCTATCCTGTTATGAGAATTTTCATATTCTGATGAAACTAATACCCTTCAACTTAATACAAGATGGTCAATTGTTTCTGGATATTCATCACACTTGGAGTCAAAATTGGTTATTATTATTATTATTATTATTATTATTAGCATTATTTTATTATTATTATTATTATTATTATTATTATTATTATTTTATTTATATTATTATTTTATTTATTTATATTATTATTATTATTATTTTTATTTTCTTTGATTTCTGGCGTTTACACATTTCTTTCCGGGTCCCGCCCAGGGACCTAAGGTTAGAAATGGCATCATGACACTTTCCACTGACAAAAAAAAAACAATTACATAGATAAAGCCCTTCGGAAAATTTGGGCTGTACTTGCCAGAACAATTTTTTGTATCTCTTTGAGGCATGGACTTCCAGGAATCCCTTCAATTAGTCTACTGCAATCTTTTCCAACCAGTCCTAGGGCTCCAACTACAACAGGGATTGTTGATGTTCCCATATGCCAATTTTTCGAGATTTCTATTTCAAGGTCATTGTATTTTGACAGCTTTTTGAATATCTTCAAAGATACATTGCAGTCAGCAGGGACTGCCATATCAACAAGGAGGCACCGTTTTTGTCTGTGGTCTTTAATAACAATATCTGGGCGGTTGGCTTTGATTGTTCTGTCAGTGTGTATTGTGTAATCCCATAGAATTGTAACAGGTCCTATCTCCGTAACCGGGTCTGGTTGGTGTTCATACCAGTTTCTTTCAGTTTATTATTATTATTATTATTATTATTTTAATGATTCCAACTATAAAATGTTGTTGCAGATGTGCAAAATATTTATGCATTTGTGCATCATTAGGACAAGTTCATCGATATCAAGAGTGATTACATGGAACTACGTGGAACGACTACATGTAAAAATTGCCCAGTTACTGATAAAACATATTCACGGTTTTTTTTCGTTTTTTCTTTTTTTTATTTACCTGGGCAAAGAAGTTACATATCTTTTATTATTATTATTATTATTATTATTATTATTATTATTATTATTGATGTTTTTGTTGTTGTTTCGCCTTAGCTTTGTGTAGTACGTGTTGACGCCAACACTCAACCAAAAATTTCCAGAGACTTCGTGGAACGACAACATGGAAAAATGCCTAGTTACTTTTATAACAAATTCTATGTGATATTTTAGGTTGAATGACTAAATGCTTGTACGTTAATTTTGGTGCATGCCTTTTAGATATGATAAACAAATTAAATTGTTAAATTAGTTTTAATTTATAACAATTAGCATTACCGGCCATTTTATTATACGTGTTTTACTTTTATAATATATATGATTAAAACGATTTTTTATGTTCTCTTGACACGAAGGAAATGTCTCTTGTCAAAAAGAATAAAAATTGAAACATGCGAGATAAGAATTGCTAATGTCAAAATCAAGCAAGTACAGAAACTTAAAGAAGTATGGGAAGTATTTTAACAGACCACGGATTTGACACCGTAATCCGAAGCGTATTGAAATAGCGAAAAATGCCTCAATTAAAAATTTTAATAACCCTAATTTACTACCGCCTGATGAGATGCGATAATATGCATCAAAACATTAATGCATTTATGTAACGGTTTTACAGATGTTCGAATGTAATATCCTATAATATATATATATATATATATATATATATATATATATATATATAATCATTTATTCGAAAATTATAACATAAAATGCTATAAATCCCTACAAAATAGCTATTTTGTATCAACACTTCTGGTGTCTTATCAAGTGATGGTGTTGAATGTAGCTTTATTCTACATTCAACACCATCACTTGCGAAGACACCAGAAGTGTTGGTACAAAATGGCTATTTTCGTAGAGATTTTATAGCATTTTTATGTTATAATTTTCGAATAAATAATTATATTCACTCTACTCTGTATTGAGCACTCTTTTAAGAATAGTATTTGTTTGTTATTGAAATTTATTCCGTATGCACCAATCCTATACTTGGGTATATATTCTTTTTATTTTTTAAACAAAGTAAAATCAACCATGCTAACCGAAACGATCCTCTGTAGCTCAATCGGTAAAAGCACGTCAGGCTATATGACGGTTCCGTATAGGATACAGGTTCGATGCCTGTCGGAGGAAGAATATTTTCTATGAAAATTTCTCGGACATTCAGGCCAGTAATTGTTGTTAAAACTGTTTATTACAAACAGTGCATTTACTTAAATATTTGTATCTATAAAAAGAACGTATAAACATAAAAAATGTCTTAAAATAATTGTCGGACTTTCACAAATAAATATATATATATATATATATATATATATATATATATAATCGTTTCACAGTAAAATTGTCCAATTGGTAGATTAAGCTTTGTGCCGTAGTATCTAAGAAATGATTAAATATATCTTACTGGAATTCTACGAGGTTTTATAACACTAATGGGCCTTTACTTTGTGCAATAAGAATGTATAATTACTCCCTAAGTTTAACAGAAGAATCGTGATGGAATCGAACATAAATGAAAGTTAATGTTCATCATTAATTAAACATAGCTAAGGATCAGAAGCTCATGAAGGATTGAAATAAAGTTCAAATATATATATATATATATATATATATATATATATATATATATATATTAATCCAGAATCATTTTCAAAGTTATTCACGATGATCTTTGTCCTTTCTAAACTTTTTAACTTTCTTACCTGGAGTAACAAGGTGCCTCACATGTTTCACGTACGATTTCATTTTCAAGTCTTTTTGCCACTGCTTTTTGGACTGGCATAACTGAAACTCCTCTCTCACGTGCCAAACGTCTTATGGATTGAATAGGATCACACACATCCCCGGTCTTTTGAACAAGAGTAGAGGTTTATCTCTTGTTTCCTGTTTAAGATTGGGTTTCCGGTTCCTTCTAAAATCTTTTTGGTCTCTTTCACTCCTGGTCGCCTCTTGCGTCTTAGTGGCCTTGCTTAGTTTAAAAAATAGTTTTGCATCCTTCTTTTTGGTATACTGTTGTACGGGAGAGCATGACTGTTCCATTTATATTTGTACCTTCTCTGTTGTCTTGGTAAAAAATTTCATTCTGTGTATATTACAGCGTTGTATAATAAGTCCACGTTTTTATATATTTCGGTTTAGTATATTACTAATAATAGTCTATTAGGTTTTGCTTTATTTCTATAATCTGTACAGTTCATAATAATAAAGCCATTACCAATATAAATGCATTGATAATGAATTTACCATGTGAATGCATTAAAAATAATGAAGAAAGGGATTATCTGTGGTCAGGAATTAATGCAAACATTATTGACAGAATAGGGTTATTGTATAATGTAAATGCGTTCATACTGAATTCATTGCGATTTTCATTGGGTGCGCCACACTTTCAGCCTTGTACCACATCTAACATAGAAAATTTATGTGATCTTATTTTTTGTTTTTACAAAAATGATCAGTGGGAAATGCCATGAAACCATTTCTAACCTTAGGTCTCTGGTTGGGATCCAGAAAGAAATGTGTATAGAATAGAAATCAAAGGAAATAATAATAATAATAATAATAATAATAATAATAATAATATTCTGTGCGTGTTTTTTTAATTGGTCAGTGGAAAATGTCATGATGCCATTTCTGACCTTAGGTCTCTGGGCGGGAGCGGGAAAGAAATGTGTATACACCAGAAATCAAAGGAAATAATAATAATAATAATAATAATAATAATAATTATTATTATTATTATTATTATTATTATTATTATTATAATCTGTGCGTGTTTTTTTAATTGGTCAGTGGAAATGTAATGTATGATCTGTACTTTTGGGTACATTTTTTTGTATTTCTTTAAGGCATGGGCTTCCAGGAATCCCTTCAATGAGTATATCGGACCCTTTTCCAGTCAATCCGAGGGTCCCAACTGCAACTGGAATTATTGATGTCCTCATGTGCCATATTTTTGAGATTTCCATTTCAAGATCCTTGTATTGAGAGAGTTTTTTGAAAATCTTCGAAGATACATTATAATCTGCAGGGACTGCCATGTCAATAAGAAAGCACATTCTGTTCTTGTGGTCTTTGATCTTTGATGTCTGGGGGATTACCTTTGATTTTTCTGTCTGTGTGTATTGTAAAGTCCAATAAAATTCTTACAAGTTCTACTATTATTATTATTGAAATCAGGAATATAATATGCCGTGTTCCTTCATGACGTAGGCGATCATGGCACTCCACAATTTCCTGTCTTTTGTAGCTCTTAATAAATTTTGTCTTTTTATTTCCCCTAAACCTTGTTCCGCTATCCATTTAATCAAGCTCACTAAGTAGGTTATGCGCTGTTTTCCTCTGTCCTGTGAGTATCAGATTTTCCAAGCCTTCCTTCCTCATTATGTGCGCTATAAGAAATTAGATACCGCAATGCCAAACCGTAAAATCGACTACAATATTTTCGCGCCTTTCAGGCGTCGGTGCACTGCTCTACAACTGAGCAGTTAGTGAGGTACTTGATTATCAGTAAATGGTAACCGTGGAAATAAATAAAGCAGTAATATGGGAAAGAAAGAAAGAAAGAAAGAAAGAAAGAAAGAAAGAAAGAAAGAAAGAAAGAATGGCGGATATCGCTAAAAAGCCATGAGAGATGGAAAGAGGTAGAGAGAAGAAAGAAAGAAAGAAAGAAAGAAAGAAAGAAAGAAAGAAATTAAAAGGAAATGAACAGAAAGAAGGACAAAGAAGAAGAATAGAAAGAGAAGAGAGCTGAAGAAAGAAAAAAAAAGAAAGAAAAAAGATAGAAATCAAAAGGAAGAAAGAAAACAAATGAAAAGAAGGAAGGACAAAAAAGAAGGAGTTCATAATTAAAATGTGGGCCTGAAAGAAAGAAAGGACATGGAAAAAAAATGAACGAGTGCGCCAACCAAAGAATAAAAGATAGGAAGAAAGGAGGTTGGCGAAATGAAAAAAGAAAAAATGGAAAGTAGATTACAAAAGAAAGAAAGAAAGAAAGAAAGAAAGAAAGAAAGAGAGAAAGAAAGGTGGACAATGCCAACAAAAGAATGAAAGATAGGAAGAAAGAGTTAAGCAAAGCGAATGAACGAATGAACGACCGAAAGAAAGAAAGAAAGAAAGAAAGAAAGAAAGAAAGAAAGAAAGGAAGAAAGGTGGACAGTGCCAATAAAAGAATAAAAGATAGGAAGAAAGAGTGAAGCAAAGCGAATGAACGAACGAACGAACGAAAGAAAGAAAGACAGAAAGAAAGAAAGAAAGAAAGAAAGAAAGACAGAAAGAAAGAAAGAAAGGTGGACATGCCAACAAAAGAATGAAAGATAGGAAGAAAGAGTAAAGGAAAGCGAACGAAAGAAAGAAAGAAAGAAAGAAAGAAAGACTGAAAGAAAGAAAGAAAGAAAGAAAGAAAGGAAGGAAGGAAGGAAGAAAGGTGGACAGTGCCAATAAAAGAATAAAAGATAGGAAGAAAGAGTGAAGCAAAGCGAATGAACGAACGAACGAACGAAAGAAAGAAAGAAAGAAAGAAAGAGGAGAGTACAGAAGAAAGAAAGAAAGAAAGAAAGAAAGAAAGAAAGAAAGAAAGAAAGAAAGAGGAAGGTACAGAAGAAAGAAAGAAAGAAAGAAAGAAAGAAAGAAAGAAAGACCGTTAAGTAGGAGAAAAAAACAGTGGAATGAGGTAACCAGGACGTTACCTCACAAAAAAGCAATTGCAAAATAAGTAAATAATAATAATAATAATAATAATAATAATAATAATAATAATAATACTAATGTAGCTAAAAAGAGAAAACAAGAAAAAAGATATGAAACGAAAAAAAAATGTTCTGGCTCGTGGAGGCATCCATATATGGTGTAGGCGTCTAAGCTGGTAACATTAGATAAGATAGAAGTAACAAAAACGCCTGCCAGCCAACCAGGTAACCTCCTCTCCCTGACCCCGTCATCTACCCGACAACCCTTACCCGACAAAAATATCGCACGTATGTACACATACACGTGCACCCCACCCTTCCACGCCTGCGTACCCAAAGCATAAAACTTTCTGTCTACAAGCCTGCTTCTCTCTCCGCTCCCGACCTCTCTATCCGTTACACCTGCCAAAAAAGAATACATCACTGCTCTACACCTTTAGAAAGTTATTTATGCGTGCGTGTGCGTGTGTGTATGTGCGCGCGCACGTGCGTGCGTGCGTGTGTCGAGGTGTCGAATATAAATTGATAGATATATGCTGTTGAATAATAAGCCTTTAGCCTGATATAAAGTGATTAACTGAATTTGATCTGAATCCTGAACCATGCTCGATCAATGGGGGCAATTTTATACACTGAATTAAGTGCATTGACAATGAAGTAAAATCATGTTGAAAAATAAATATAAGCTCTTTAAAATATGTGTGTCTTAAAGTCTGGCTTAAAGTGCTCAATATCAGGGGATAGAAAGCATGTAAATATAAAAGTGAACATTGAAGTCACCACCCAGCGGCGACAGTCTGTTTCATGGTTAAACGCAATCGTCGTATAATTGTACATACCCCTTGGATGTCTCTCTTGAGTCCAGTTACTGAAGGTAACACCAATCAGCTGACAAGCTTTATATTTGTATTAATTCTATCTATCTATCTATCTATCTATCTATCTATCTATATATATATATATATATATATATATATATATATATATATATATATATATATATGAAGAAATATAGTTTTTAAGGTGTGCTATATTTATGGGATAAAGTGCTCGATATCAGAGATAGAGCGTATGTAAATATAAATATAAAAGTGAACATTGAAGTCAACACTCAGAGGCGACAGTCTGTTTCATGCTCGGCGCAACTGTCATTATATATATATATATATATATATATATATATATATATATATATATATATAATTTATTTACTGTATTGAGGTAGCAGTTCAATGAATGTCTGTTATGTCTGATCATGAGCCATTCGAATGTTTGCTTTAATTTCGGATAAAAATAAAGACAAAAATTGTCCAATATTTGGATATTTTTTATTAAGTTGATCCTTCATCTAAGCTTTCGGCTCACATTTTACAATGTTCGTAGAAGAAGATAGCTTATGTGATCAGACATAACAGATATTCATTTGTCTGTTATATTTAACAATATATGTTTAAATATATATTTAGATAATTAATATATATATATATATATAAATACGATCCAATTCATCAGACCTACAGATTCAAAAAGAAAACAGAAAAAAACAACTCCGGGAATAAAAAATATAATTTAGTGAGAGTGTATGTATGAGTGTGTTTTATTATATTATATCCTTACTCTGTCCCGGACATTGAGTTCTACCTGGATTCTATCCACTTGGATTTATTTTTTCCATATATATATATATATGCATGTGTATGTATGTATGTATGTATGTATGTATGTATTTATATATATATTTAGATATATTTTTAGATATATAATTGCATATGTATGTGTATATTTATATATATATATATATATATATATATATATATATATATATAGCTAAGCTAGTATGACGCTTAAGAAAGCACAAATGAAATATGTCTTTTCCTTACATGGTTTTCTCCACAATAGCCCTTACTAGCATGCATAAGTATTAAACTAAACGCTCTATGCAATCCTGACCCTCATTTAGCGTTCCGATATACTATATATATATATATAATCGACTCTCCCGTCGCGTTCGACGTATGAGGGTCAGGCCGATAAGTCCCCAGGAAACCGACATCCCGACACCGGCACATGAGATTTGATTATAGTGGTGAAGGCCTCGTGCAGGACCAGCCACACTTTTTGGAAGGACGAATACAGAAACCTGGTGCATATATATCGAATACAGAAATCGGTGCATATATATATATATATATATATATATATATATATATATATATATATATATATATATATATGGGATTGGGAGCTTTTTTTAATCATTTCACCCCAAGCAGGGAGTTAAAGCCAATAAGACACAATGGTGTTACTAAGTGTGAAAGAATATGAGAAAAACTATTAGTTGGAGGTCAATAAAAAACACAGGAATTGAGAAGGTATTGCATTTATATTTTTGAAAATCCATGTTGATTGAAAAGCAAGTTGCCTAACGAGAGCTCCACAAGCGAGAAGTGAAAGAGAATAAAATATTAGAATAGGACTTACAGATACACCTAGCTAATTAAAAAGTGAAATGATGAGACCTAACCAAAGAGAAAAGCTCATCAGAACAATTGGCATACAAATATATACGTATACTTGTCTGTATATATATATATATATATATATATATATATATATATTGCGTATATTTTGGCAGCATTTTTTCATTAAGACGTGCCTCATTAAATAATTTAGACAAGTTTTGTCTACTTATTTTTAATAGGAACCTCTTGTAATTACGAACAAGTTTCTTAGTATTCTTATGAACGGAAGAAAGAAAATTATCATGTTGATGCATATTCATTTTATTTCAAGTACTTCGACATTAGCACAATGTCATCATCAGGGTCTTGTTTTTTATAAGACAAATTGAATGATGCAACTAACATCTCTCAACATTTACAACATGCCTGTTCACATTCGCAAATTAAAAAAATTCTTGTTAAAAATACATCTATACTTTTTTCATGAAATAATAAACTAAAACTTCATGAAGCTATCTATATTTAAAAAAAAAAATAAACCAACCCTTAATAAAATCAACTATGAATACTGCACAGATGTTTTAAAATGTTTACAGTAGATAGTTTAAAATATCTAGGTTTTAACTAATATTTTTAAATAATTTTTCTTTAAGAAAAAGTTTTTAGACATTTCAATAACTCAGTTACCTCCCTTGACATTTACACGCGTGTCTATATGATAAAATTTAAATGTTGTATATTACATAGCGTCTTTCACTTCACACGTAAAAATTTAATTTTCAGACGAACAATTTTGTCTTAGAAAAATAATGAACACATTTTTTACTTAAAAAAACTGATAACGACATTGTGCTAATGTCGAAAGTACTCGGAATAAAATGAATATGCATCAACTTGGTAATATTTTTTCTTCCTTTAAAAAGGACACTAAGAAAACTGTTCGTAATTACGAGGGGATCCTATTAAAAAAAAAGTAGACAAATTTTGTCTAAATTATTTAATAAGACATATATATATATATATATATATATATATATATATATATATATATATTATTTATTCGAATATGAATATGTTATAAAATCACTAAAAAAATAGCCATTTTGTTTCAACACTTCTAATCATACATTCAACAGCATCACTTGATAGGATACCCTAAGTGTTGAAACAAAATGGCTATTTTTGTAGTGATTTTATAACATATTCATGTCATAATTTTCGAATAAATAATTATATTTGCTCTACTCTGTATTGAGCATTCTTTTAAGAATAGTATTTATTGGTTAATGGAATTTATTCCGTATACACCAATCCTATACTTGGGTATACACATACACACACACACACACACACACACACACACACACACACACATATATATATATATATATATATATAGTAAGAATAAACGCTAAAGCTTAAATAAGATAAAAAATAAAAAATAAACTGGGGACTAAATGCCAAAGTTGTCAGATCCTAAATATAATGCAATAATATTATTAATTCCACATCACTATTCACTACTCAGAATTTCATTGAATAACAATCTTCTGGTAGAAACAAGATAGATAGATAGATAGATAGATGTACACGGAAAAAGAAAATAGCTAGTCCCTGATGAAGGTGCCTGTTCAGGCATATTTATGTTGGTTCAACAACCCCCATCTGTGATTTATACTGCAACTATGCTGATCGAACCTTAGTTACAGTTTCTGAGAGAGAGAAAGCACATATCATCTGACATGATCAGCAGTTTGAACAACGCCAGTACGTTTAAACTCTCGGTCACGATGACTTGTGATTTCGTACTGGCACGATCCTCACCGGTTTCCGAGTAGAACAGTTCCGTGTACCAAGTTTCATTCACAAGTTATGGTTTTTCGGGAATTTTCCAAAGGTGCCGCTCGCTGGGATCGATAACATCAAGAAGTCACCTTCCTGCCAATCGACCCTGGTAGAACCCGGGTAGAACTCATGGTCAGAAGGCGAACGTTCTGACCACCAGGCTACGCGCCTCTACATAACACAACACAATGACCCCTATTAAAATGCGTAAAATTATTAGAAATTATCGTATTTTAAAAGTCAGCAGGAGTTTTGTCGAAAAAAGTGCACAACAGATAACTAGAGCGATAATAGTTTATAAATTACTAAATCTTCGAAGAACTTATCTTATTGACCAACTCTAGAGTTTCGTGTAACAGCGCTCATCAGTGTGGGAGGGTCTGATATATCTACTGAAATTACTATATATCACATACCCGGCAAAACAGACGCCAATCGGAGATTGCAAAATTATCGAAGGGAAGGAACTCGACCATGACTGTTAGTTTCACATGAAAGGTGATACACTAAGAAGCCGTCTGAGGATCGCTTTGCGCGTGAAACTAATAATCAAGTTCTGTGTTTCTACAATCCTGGCTTGTGTTGCCGATCTTTTCTGCATTGTCTGAATTGTACACTCTCTCTTTCTCTCTCTTTCTCTCTTTCTCTCTCTTTCTCTCTTTCTCACTTTCTCTTTATCTGTGTGTGTGTGTGTGTGTCTGTATGTCTCTCTTTATCACTTTCTCGATAGATAGATAGATAGATAGATATGAAAAATCTGAGATAGATATAAAATAGAGAGAACAGTGAATGTTATTATTAATAATAAAACAGTGATCTATATGTTTCTAATTTTAATTCTTATCTATTAATTTCTTCTTCCCACATTAAAATGCACTACTCCGACAATCTATAAATAAAGAGGTGTTGGAACGACAATTTTAATTTACGCTTAGCATCGAGCGGTGAGGGACAGTTATATAATTATTCGTAGAACAAAGTGAATAGATAGATAGATAGATAGATAGATATGAACACAAGAAGATAGATAGATAGATAGATAGACAGACAGACAGAAGAAAGAAAGGAAGAAAGAGACTATATATATATATATATATATATATATATATATATA